TGCGAAGGTTGGACCCAAAGTCAGAGGTAGCAACCCATGCTGCGCAAATGGGACATTTCTTCAACTTCAAGGCCGTTGAGATTGTAGGCCGGGGCGGTAATTATACGTCAAGGCAGACGCAAGAAGCCTGTATGTCCATCGACTGCTCTGTCAACTGCCACATCAGTCTGCCTCCCCCCTTCTGACTTTACGAACCTTCTTAACGGGGGACAGTCACGGCGCGAGACTATCAGGGTCATCACGTATCTCCTCGGCCAACGAGGGCGTGAGCGACTCAGATCACGGTAACATAAGGGAAGGATGCAGCCACACAGGCGCCATCAGCGGGCAACTAATCTGACTTAATTAGTAATGTTATCACGAACTAACGAGTTATATCTCACGAGCCCCTGGCCTTAAAGGTAGCAAGCAAATCCGACCAGTAAATAATATAGAAATTCTGAACGTCAAGTAACCTGACAACGGAGTGCGACAACTAGGAAGGCCAGCGAAGCGGGTTGCGTATGTGCGTCGTTTTTCGTCACATTCAAACAAGCAATCCGGGCAAAGAAACGGGACTGAATTGTCAAAGGTAAATTAGTCCGGTACTCCACCACAGTACCCCATTCTAGGCCGCAGGGCGACGTAATACGGCAGCGGAGGATATGCATAACTCTGAAAAAAATGCGTAAATAAGCGATCGGGAAAATGAACGCGACGACCACTGCGAGTGATGTTTGAAGGAAGTAGAGTAGAAGAGGGTTGACTGCGTGCTATGGTGGAGGATGATGTTGCAGATGGATGCTGTAGACATGTAGGGAGAAGAAGTATGCGGACGGAGGGGTAGAGGGTAGGGGAGCGGAAGGGCGAGGGAGTGAGCAAGATGAATGAGCAGTGTATAGTGAAGATGGAGGAACAGGGGTTAGGAGGTCAGCACATTTTTGTCCTTGTGACAGGTCCGGCGGCTCCTCTGCAACAGCAGCTTTGACCCGATCGACACTGACCATGTCCTCCTTGTCACTGCGAAGAATCCGGAAGGTCTTGGCGTTGCGCGCGAGCACGGGGAGCGGTCCTTTGCATGGTTATTCCAGCGGCTGGCGCACACGGTCACACCGGACGAACACATGAGTACAACTGTCCAAGTCTTTTTCGACAGAAGACTCAGTCATTGGATTTCGAGGTGGAACCGGAGGAAGCGAGCGCAAAATTGCCGCAAACAGTGCACAAGGTTGTCAGGAGTCTCGTCGGCTCCACGAGAGGTTGGGGTGATCATCTCACCTGGCAGTCGGAGGGTAGTGCCGAAAACCAATTCAGCTGAGCTACAGCCCACATCCGACTTCAGAGCTGCGCGGATGCCGAGGAGTGCAAGAGGAAGGTTGTCCGACCAGCTTCCTGGGTCTTCTACGGCACGCAGGGCAGTCTTTAGCTGGCGATGGAAACGCTCAACCATACCGTTTGCAGCTGGGTGGTAGGCTGTCGTCCGAATGCGTGTGCAGCCAAGGAAATTGAGTAGCGTTTGGAAGAATGCCGACTCAAACTGGGCACCACGATCAGTCGTAACCGTGGATGGGGCACCGAACATGACGACCCAACGACTGACGAAGGCCTTCACGATTGTTTCATCCTGAGCATTCGGCAAAGGAATAGCTTCAGCCCAGCAAGTATATCGATCGACACAGGTAAGGAGGTGGGTGAAACCATTGGATGGAGGCAAGGGGCCTACGACATTCAGGTGCACATGGCTGAACCGTGCCTCGGGACTGGGGAAAGCGCCTGGTGGGGAATTGTTGTAACGCTGCACCTTGTTGCGCTGGCAATTCAGACACGAGCAGGCCCAAGCTTTTACGTCCTTGTTCATGCCAAGCCAGACAAACCCTTCCGCGAGGAGCTTTTAAGAGGCTCGGATCCCAGGGTCGGAGAGTCCATGCAAAGTTTGAAATACAGCTCGACGCATCGAGGCGGGCAAGAAAGGGCGATGAAAGGGAGTTGAGACGTCACAAAGTATGGTACCAGTGCCGGTGGTCAGAAGAACGCCTCTGAGTTGGAGACCACTAACAGACTCGTCGCAAGGACAACCGACTCGCTGTTGCTCAGTCGCCATGGCACAAACATCGATCCCGTGTGAGAGTTGGAGGGAAGGCAGTGAGGGTCTGGACAGCATATCAACCATCTCATTCTTAGTGCCATCAATGTGGCAGATGTCGGTGGTGAATTGGGAGATGCAGTCCAAGTGGGCGATTTCCCTCGGATTGTACTTGTGGGAGTGGGAACGAAGTGCAAAAGTCAACGGTTTGTGGTCAGTGAAAACAGTGAAGTCACGACCTTCAAGAAAATGCCGGAAATACTTTACAGCCAGGTAAATGGCAAGTAATTCACGGCCAAAGGTACTGTAGCGTGTCTCAGTTGGTAAGAGCTTTTAGGAGAAAAAGGCAAGTGGTCGAGTCGAACCAGTAAGGTGTTCTTGAAGGACTGCACCTACGGCTACGGTCGAAGCATCTACCATCAGAGACAGCTGAGTATCAGGAGCGGGATGTGTGAGTTAGGTGGCGTCGGCAAGGGAATTCTTGATTCTCTCAAAGGCAGTCAGTGCTTCACCAGTCAGCTCGAGGTGGGCTTTGGGACAAGAAAGCATGTTGGTGAGCGGCAACATGAGGTCAGCACAGTTCGGTAGGAACCGACGGTAAAAATTGACCATGCCGAGGAATCGCTGCAACTGTGGCTTGGAAGTTGGTGGAGGGAAATTACGAACTGCTTCAACCTTGGGGGGGAAGGGGGCGCAAACCTTCAGAGTCGACATACTGGCCGAGGAACTCTAGTGAAGGTACACCCAACACGCACTTGGAGGGGGTGATGACAACGCCAAACTTGTCAAGGCGGTTAAACACCAAGGCAAGATGTTCTTTGTGTTTTTATTCATTCCGGCTGGCCACCAAGAAGTCATCGATCTAGGCGTACACAAAGGGTAGGCCACGTAAGACATGGTCGATGAACCTCGGGAACGTTTGGGGGGCATTACGAAGACCGCACGGCATACGCATGAACTCGCAGAGACCGAAGTGTGTGGTGACGGCAGTTTTAGGGATGTCCTCAGGAGCGACCGGAATATGCTAAAAAGCACGCACCAGATCAATCTTCGTGAAAACCGCTTTGCCGAAAAGGGCTCCAGCAAAGTCCTGAAAATGAGGCACAGTGTACCGATCAGGAATAGTGGCGCTGTTGAGGGCACGATAGCTGTCGCGGGGTCTCCAGTCACCTGATGTCGCCTTGGGCACCATGTGCAGTGGGGACACCCGAGGGCTCTCGGACGGTCGAATTATTCGCAGTTACAGCATGTGTTCAAACTCCGCCTTCGCGGCCTGTAAACGCTCCTGTGCTAGTCGTCTTTGACGAACAAACACGGGAGGACCTGAGGTGCGTATATGGTGCATAACATCATGTTGGACCTCACCACTGCGAAACTGGGTGTTACTTAGGTTGGGGTGTCTAAGAAGCAGTTGCCGAAAGGGGCTAGCAATATCCGTATCCAAGACAGATAAGTTGGTGGGGGCAGTAAAGGGAGTTAATCCACGAGCAGACAGACCGGTTGTGCGGTCGCGGGGACGGGCACGTCGGCAGTCAACAAAGAGATCGCACTCGGCAAGAAAGTCTGAGCCGCGGATTGCATGAGGAACATCAGCAATCGCCAAGATCCAGGTGAACGACCGACGAAGGCCAATGTTCAGGGTAAGGGACAGCCTGCTAAAAGTGGGAATGGGGGAACGGTTGGCAGTTTGGAGGTGAAGACCAGCGCTGGGGAAACGACGATCAGCAAAAAAACGCTGATTTGGGCTCCAGTGTCCACCAGGAAACATCTGCGAGTCGTAGTGTCGCAAGCATTGAAGGTGCCAACATAGCTGGAAGAGCCGGAAATAACGGTCGCGTCTATTCTCTGGTTGACTGGTTTCCCCGTTTGGACTTAAAAGAGCAGGATGAGGAACAGCGACGGTCCGTTACGCCGAAATTAGCATGTTACCAAAAAGTATCAGCAGTCCGAGGCCGCGAACGAGAACGACGACGGCTGCGTGAGCGACTGGAGGTAAGGCGTGCGAGCTGCAGTTTAAGGGAGGCCATCTTATCCGCCATGGCAGACACCTGCTTCATTAACTGCTCATTCACTGTCGATGAGGATGTGAAGACCTGGGCAACGGAAGGCGACAGGAGCCGCAGCCGCTCTATCATTCGATCTGCCATCTCAGGCAGCTGCGAGACCGTGAGATCTTGGGCACCGGACGCCAGGATCGTTTGAACATCTGCAGGCAGGCGCTCTAGAAACATCTTGACGAATTTATCGTCAACCTGCATGTCTCCAAGAAGAGAACGCATTTGACGTAGAAATTCTGACAGTTTTCGGTTACCCATTGACTCCTCCTTAAGAAACTGGTGATACCGCTGTCGGTCGGACACTGAATTAGGTCGAAGAATTTCTGCCATTAACGTGGAATAGGGAGCATCTGCAGGAGGATTAGATAACAAGGACTGAACTCGAGAGATAACACTAGCGGGGAGAACCTCCAAAAGTTTGTGGTATTTCGCCAGCTCCTTGGTAGCGTAACAGAATAAAAGGCTGATTCGATGCGGATAAAAGGGAGTTCTGGAGCGTGTTGCCAGAATTCAGGCAAGGTAAAATTGACGACATGAAGCGGCTGGGCGGGGGCATCGAGTTGTTGGTTGGAGTGAGACATAATAATCAAGACAGATGTGGTAAAATATCGAGAAAATTCGTGAGAAAAGTAGATATAAATTGAATAGAAATCCACAAACAAAAAGTACGTTAAATGATATTCAATCTGACATAGAAAGGTATCCCTAATAGCAAAGCGAGCTCGTTGCAAGCTCATAACGAGGGCGCAAATCAGCGGTCCCGAGCTCATTCCGGGCTCTGATTTTTCCAGGCAACCAAGCTCGATGCGCCCTCCCTGTTGCGCCCTCGTAAAGAGCTCGTAATTTCGCGACGCTGGACTCGTTCCGTGCTCGTAGTGAGCTCGAAAATACGAGATGGCCTACTTTAATTAAACGGGGGTTTCACCGTCCTGATATTCGACCAGCCCACCCTCATTTAATTCCAGTTCACCCCCAGATTTTTCCTGAGATAATAATAATGATATTCCAAATTGTTCATAAAAAAATTATGTATCAAAAATAGTATAGAAAGAATAGTGTTTAAATATCCTGAGGATATTCCTGAATTGCGTCATTCGGCGTTCTATCCGGATCGTCAGCCGGCGGGGCGTCTGAAAGGAAGGTAACGTACAAAAGTAAGTGCATGCATTGCATTTTACGTTCAACAAAAAGCTTAAATAAGTACACAATTTAATCCCTCAAGTATTGTTACCGTTCTGCAAATCACTTGTCGATGCTCTATTGCATCGGCGATGTTGCGTGTAATGTGCACTTTTGAAGACGTCCCAGCGTCCATTAATTTCAATTAGGACGAAAAAGTCTTTCATTGGGAAGCATGCATGCTTTTGAACCGTTAGCGGCAATGGGCAGTTGTGAATCAGTGTCTAACCTGGCCTTGAAAACTTGAACGTTTGAGGACCTTATTGGATAATCAAAGTAGTCTTCAATCGTGTAATAGTTCACGAAAACTATTTGCACCTCACATGATGGATACCGCAGTACATTTTTGATACATACTAACTTACCATCAGTGGCTACAGATCCATCCGAGTACGTTGTGCCAATGATCAAGTTGCCTCTTTGTGTTATTTTATATTGCGTAACGGATCCATCTGAGGACGGCGGTGGATGCTGAATATGTTCATGTCTACATGTCCATTCCGTTGGAAAGCGGACATCACGTCTTACACTGTAGTTCACCTAACCGACGCACTACTTGCCGCAACGGTTGTGATGGCTTACTGAGCAATCGCTCAAGCCTCCCTAGGTAACTTTCGAATGGAAATGATGAGAAGCTGTCTAATGGGCCATGACGTAAGACATCATACGGTAGGTGAAGAATTCCGACTTCATATATGAAGTCGGCGTTAACGTCGGGAGTCACCAATGACGTAAATCGTAACGTTCTCACGAACTAACGAGTTATATCTCACGAGCCCTTAGCCATAAAGGCAGCAAGCAAATCCGATCAGTGAATAATATAGAAATTCTGAACGTTAAGTAACCTGACAACAGAGCGCGACAACCAAGTAGGCCAGCGAAACGGGTTGTACATCTGCGTCGTTTTTCGTCACATTCAAACAAGCGATCCGGGCAAAGAAAACGGGACTAAATTGTCAAAGGTAAATCAGTCCGGTATCTCACCACACAGCAAACAAAGTGCGCCATATAAGGAGAGCTGCGCGCATGACATCCCAGGCTCTGAAGATGGGTAAACGAAACAACTACTCAAAACTTCAGACTTCAAATACACCTCTCCCGGTGAACGTCTCCTTTTCTTTCGATTTACTACCGAGAATTGCGTTTTCACTGCCATCGATACATATATATGCATAGATGAGAAGGTAGGGCAATCACAAGAGCCATGATTCTAATGGCCTGACTTTTGGAAAGCTAGCAATTTTCCATCTTCGGAGGTGGTGTGCGTACGGCATGTCGCAGTATTTAAGGGTTTTTCTTCGGGCTGGCATGTCACTGACATCCATAGCGCCGCATCGCTGTCGACGATTGTTGTCATGGTGGCATCGTTTCCTCCTTATCCTTCGCCCTTCGCGTGCGTTTAACGTACGCACAGGTCCAATTCCTTCTCACATGCCTCGGCAACCGATTGCTACCGAAGAGCTTTTCCTATAAACCAACAGTGAACACGACTTGTGAGGCAATGGCTGATGCACCAGGGCATTCGAATGACTCAAGTACCCCTCCATGACTGTCATTTTCGACCATAAAAATAGGACAGAATTCTGAGCTAGCCATCTTCAGCGCTCGGAGATCGTTGGCGAGAATGAGACAGCACTCTTAAACCAAGTGATCGGTAAACGAGCCAGGGAACTGATATAGAGACGATATAGGAAGTTGATTCATAAATTCCGAAAATTAAGCTCGTTGCACAGGATGACAACGAAGTACTGATCCTCAATTTGTCCTCCAAAGAATTTAAACCGGGACATACTCAGGTACTGAAACGTGCAGCCGTATGCAACATCTCGGACGCCGACCCGGCTAACTTCGTGGCCATGATCGAGTCGATTCTGAAATACTCCATGAGCCGGCCAAGACACGACAGTTCGACCGCCGTTGCCGCCGATGCTATCGTGTGCTCCACAAAAAAGTGAGAACAGAGGCGGTAACTTGTGCGTGAATTGGTTTATGGTTATAGTGGACTTACACAGCATCTGCCGCACTCTGTCTTCCCCACTCCCCAACTGGACCCGATGCCAAGACAGAGTCAAGAATATCGGAGATGGGAGAGAGCGCAGGTGGACGGCACGGTCGAGCCTGCACCTTGGCGTTCCACTCCACATACCCCCGCGCTCCACACAGCAAATAACCAGGCTTTTGACCGGCAACAACAATAGGGGGCTGCAAGGATCCCAGTGTGCGCGACGTCTGCCGGAAAACCGGGTCTGTCGCCGCATCCCGAAATGTTAACATTTGTTTTAATGTGCAGATCCGATAATGCCCGCAAGAATCCGATATGGCCCCCATGTTGGTCCAGCGCATCTATCACATGGCGTGCTTGGAGGGCACAGCCGAGACACAGGGCCTCATTCGGCAACAGGTCACCTCCCTTGTTATGACTCACAAACCACATATGGTCATTCCGAGAACGCAGCAGGATGCCCTTAGGACGCTGAAGGCAAACAAGAGTATCGTGGTCCTACCTGCAGAAAAAGGGCGCTCTGTAGTAATATGTGACAAGATCGAAGGCCAATGTCTTGCTTGACGACAGTCAAGCGTGCATCATGTGTGATGGCGACTCCATGAAGAAGCTGGTGACGCGGATAAACACAACGCTTATTATGCTACAAAATAATGGCGCGATGACTAGGGCAGAACAAGTGACCACCAAACCGACCGATGTAGAAAAGTTCTACAGCCTATCTAAAGTAAACAAAGATGGTGTCTCACTCCGCCCCCTCGTATTTTTGCGCCGGCCATCCACGTTTAACTTGGCCAAATAGATGTTCCGAAGTCTAAGCTGCCTCACCTCGGGCTCCGATACCACTATTCGCTCGCTTCCATTTCCTGGAAAGACTTAGAGCGCTATATTGCAGTGGAACGGCCGACAAAGTGACCGAGCCCCACTATCTTCGTCGGATCTTAACTTCCAGCGGTTACCCCCGTGGCTTTATAGAACGTAATACTGTCCAAATCAACCATCAAGCTAACGACAAATGAACCGAAATTCTGGTTAACGTTGCCGTATATTGCGGACGTATCCGAGGCAGTTGCGCCTCTGCTGCTACCATTTGGGTATTGGCATCGCCCATATATATTACTCAACAATTAGACGACCGGTCATGAGACCAAAAACTCCTCTGCAGCGAGGCGGAACAGCCAGCATCGTCTATCGGGTCCAGTAAAGTTCCTGTGAAGCGAACCACACTGGAGAGACCGGGAAGAGATTGCAGACCTTCATGGGCTAGCACGCACGAGCGGTACGAAGGATGAATCAGCACTCGCTGGTGGCGAAATATTGTGCAGCTTCTGGCCATGCACTCGCTTTCCAAAACGACGAAATCTTGGACCAAGAGAGGGATCAAACGTTCAGGGAGATGCTCGAAGACCAGCACATCCCAACCACCCCAATTAGCTGCTGTGTAACTCTGCCGGCAGCCTACCGAGCCCTACGGCTGCAGGTCAGTAAGCAGGACTGCGGTCGGGACGTCAGGTCAGAGACAACGGTATTCAAGAACACGGGTGAGCGTGAACGGGCATCGGAAGCAAGCGAAAACAAGGGGCAACCGGTGGCGAAAACAAACCTGGGAGACCGCCTACTGGGTCTGAACGCAGGCTGGCGCAAGCACACGGTGAGAACGAACGCTAGTAACAGGGGCCCCCAGCCCGACGTCAACACTGGTGTAACAACCACCGCTAGCAAGTTTACGGGCAGGTGTGAACGGGGCAGGAAGGCGAGATACGTGGATGTCGGATACAAGTACGGATAATACAACAAAGAGCAACAGTTGTGGTCACCCCGACGCTGCGCCGCTCCCCTCCCTAACACCCGGCGAAGGATAAGGAAAAACCGATGCCGCCATAACAAAAACCGTCAACTGCGATGCAGCGCGCTGAAAGGCAGTGACATGTCAACACGAAGAAAAACCCTTAAATACTGTGACATGCCGTACGCAAGCCACATCCGACGATGGAAACTTGCTAGCCTTCTAAACGTTTGGCCAATAAAACCATGGTTCTCAGTTTGCGGAATAGCCATTTTGCCAGATTATATGTAGGTGTACCGCGCAATGAACCGATTGGCCGGAGAGGGAGACCGGGTTTGTGTACCTTCGGTAGGCCATAGAAACGCGCAGGGGCCGCACCTGTCAGCTTAATGGCCAGCCGTACCGATTTGCTTATTGCTTTGTTCGATTGCATGTCGGCGAGCGTCTTCTCCAGTTGCGTCACAAGCGTCTTTATCGATTCTTCACCACGTGAGAGGTACGCCTGTCGGTCCTCCGGTAGAGTGCTGGCCTTCTGAACGTAGTCTGTCTTATCCAGCACTACCGGGGAACGTCCTTTGTCTGCCGGTAGTATTAAAATGCTGGTGTCATTCCTGAGTGCCTCGAGAGCGCTCTCCTCCGCTTTGGTAATAATTGCACGTGGTTTGTGCGCCATCACCAAGGAGGTAACCTGTTGCCAGATGAGATGCTTTCTCTCGTCCGGTTCCCCGGTTTGCTTGAGGATCGACTCGACCATGGCCACGAGATTAACCGGATCGGGGTCTGCGGTGTTGAAGCAAGCTTCATGACTCAGCACTTTCAATTGTGTAGGAGTCAGCTGTTTGGAGGGCATATTGTGGGCAAGGATTTCGTCTTCTCCTGGAGATGAGTGGCTTATACTTCGAAACTTAGCAGCCAGCTCGGCATCTCTTTGTGCCCACAGCTCTCTAGCCCGTCTCTGTCGAGATCTCTCACCTCGAACGCAGCCATGACCGTCTGTCCAGCGGCTCAGTTCCTAGAACGGCTCAAAGGCATCCGACTCAGCGAAGATGAGGTCATGGTGTCATTCAATGTCACCGCTCTCTTCACTTCGATCCCGCAATGCCTAGCAGTCAAAGCGGTTATCGAACTGCTCGAATGCAAGTACGACGAGACAGACGAAAGCGTGAAACGGACTCATCTCATTCAACTGCTGCAATTCTGCCTGAAGACTTTATTTACCTTCGAAGGGAGGATGTACGAACAGACCAAAGGAACGCCGATGTGATCACCGCTTTCAGGCTTCATCGCAGAAGCAGTTCTCCAAAAGGTAGAGACCGAAGTTTTCGAGACCCACAGACCAAAAGGTTGTACCCCGTATGTCGATGATATCTTTGTCATTATCAAGCGGAAAATGGTTTACGAATTTCACACGATTCTGAACTCTGTTTTTCCGGACATCCAGTTCACAAAGGAGACAGAAGTCAACAACCAGCTAGCGTTCCTAGACGTCCTGGTACACCGCAAAACCAACGGGAGCCTAAGAACGACGGTATACCGAAAGGCCACCAACACACGTCAGGCCCTCAGTTACTACAGTAACCACCCGTTGTGCCACAAACGTAGCTGTGTGCGGACTCTTTACAAAAGGGCGGAAACTCATTGCAGCGAGGCAGCCGACAAAGAAGCCGAACTCCATTATCTTCGGCGGATGTTCATCTCCAACGGTTACCCTCGCAGTTTCATCGAACGCAGCAGGCAACCAAAGAGAGCTGTAAGGCCAACGAGAGAAAAACCAAAAGTGCGGCGGGCTCTACCGTATATCGAGAATGTATCCGAAGCAGTCGCTCGTCTCTTACAACCACTGGGGATCGGCGTCGCCCACCGACCGGAGTCAGCAATTCGACATCTGGTCATGAGACCTAAGGCCCCTCTGCCATGAGATGAAACCTCGAACGTCATCCACCGGATTCAGTGTAACTCCTGCGAAGTCAACTACATTGGGGAGACCGGCAAACGGCTGCAGAGCCGTGTTAGAGAACAACTGAGGGCAGTAAGGCGAATAGACCCTTTGTCTCTGACGGCCGAACACTGCGCCGGTTCCGGACACACGTTCGCCTTTCGGCATGCCGGAATTCTGGGCCGGGGAAACGACCGCATACCCATGGAAACAATCAAGGCTTGGCACACGAGGATAACATCCATCAACCGTTGTGTGACTCTTCTCGCTGCCTACCAAGCCCTTCGGGCGCAGCTCAGTATACAAATGAGCAGACGTGCACCCAGGCTAAACATGAATCCAGACATGAGCGAGTCCATGGCGGATACACACTCAGGCACCCCTCAACCCAGTGAGCTTTGTAAAAACAATTGTCTCAGACGCCAGCAACAACCACAAAGCGTCGACTCTAACGGAGACAGGGTATCACGGAAATTCTATTCCCTGTTCTACATGCCGAGAATTTCCGAAGCGATCGCTCGACAATTAAATCAATTCGGCATCCCCATCGCCCACAAACCGGTGTCTTCATTGCACACGACATTATCCCGGGCAAAAGACCCCATACCGAAGGAGCAGCAAACAAATGTCATTTACCGCATTCCATGTGCAAACTGCTCTAGCGTTTATGTTGGGCATACCGGCCGACGACTTGGGACCAGCATTAACGAACATAAGTTGGCCATCGGCCGACGGGACCCCTTGTCTCTCGTGTTTGCGCACGCCCTTGCGTGTGATCACTGCTTCAACTGGGAGGGGACCGAAGTGATCGCTAATGCCAACACCAAACAAGCCGAGCGTTCCCAGAGGCTTGGCACTCTAATAACAATAGCATCAACCGCTATGTCGACTTGGACGCTCACCACGAAGGCTTACGTTCACAGTTCGCCGGCTTGCGCCCGCCCTAAGACACCAACTGCTAATCCATGTTCAGCCATGTAGAATGTCACGGATTCAGCATCTCCCCACAGAGTGAACCATGTGTGAATCTCTCAACACCTCGCCTAACGTCCGCCACCTATCCAAACACGTTCTTCACCCCCACACATAAACGTCTATCTTGTTGATGTAACCTCGATGTCCCCTAGCTCCCCAGTCCGATTATTTCCCTCACACTTTTCATTTCGTCTGACGACGGGTTGGTGTAACCGACTTGAAAATTCACGAGTATACCTTGATTTTCCGACGAGTCTTCTCCTTTTAATATATAAATATATATCAATCAGGAATGGGCGCACACCGATCTATTGGCTTCACAAAGCAAACAAGCTCCGTATGTGTGGCAAAGGTTCGGTCTTGCTGCCGGTTCGTGACCTTTACCATCCATACGGAGCTTGTTTGCTCCGGGAAGCCAATAAATCGGTGTGCGCCCATTCCTGATTAAATAAATACCCGATGCGCAGCAACAGAGAATGACAGGTGGCGAGGCACTGATGAACTTCGGTTCGATGAAGTGCTTATGACCCATCTGGTAGGCCTCAGTGGTGGACCGACTGCGCCAGGTGCGTCTGTGCGCATGTTTGTGTTTCTGGTCTCAGCTGCTGGTGGTCAAGGTTATGATTGGCTGAATGAAGGCAGAATAAGCCCGAAACAGTGCTGTATCAATCTACCCGCATTCTCTGTCGTCCCTCCTCGCTGCTATATATATATGGTATGTGAGCGCTCACCGATCGTTTTTACATAACTCTCTCGTCCCGTTTTGCCCTAGAGCTCTTTCTCGGGCGCCCCTCTACCATTGTACATTCCCGATCGCAATCGACCCGAAAACAAGCCCGTGACCCAGTGGTTAGATGCGTTGGACTTCCAACCAACTGGTCGTGGGATCAAGCCTCAGGTGTTCCATACTTCGGGGTTGGGTATGATTGGCCGACGACGGCTAGTAAAGCAGAAATAATCATTCCAGTCTCCCATGTCTCTGTCAACAATGCCATTCTGTTTATATCACGTGCCGTTGTGAGGCTGGTGGTTGGGCTCGGGAGAGATCCCCAAGGAACATCGGGACTATCGAGATCCGTAGCGTGATCGATGAGTGCCTTTCTACTACTATATTTCGAAATATGTTTTTCAAGGCTGTCTACTTATTTTGGTTGTGTCACCGATCGATGGCCCATGCGAACGGTTGCACGCGACCAAACGGGTGATTATTTGAAAACCGTCTGAGGACCAAAAACAACTTTAACCGAATTCACAGGCCTCACTGTTTGTAGCGTAAGGCTGCTAGCTGGAGTAATGGCAGAAAACAAACTAACAACGAACGTCTGAGACATTGGCAATATAAGAGAAGTGACAGCGAACGCCTTCTCGCGACCCGGTAAAAAAACGAAGGGCTAGCAAGATCACTAGCTACCGTCGTCCAGTTTTGTTGTCAATCAGCAAACCGGCCAATTACTGTGAAGTCCGACTTGGCTGGTCCGTAAGTCGAAACTATAATCGGATGGTCTCAAAACGGTGGTCTAGAGGCCATTCACTGGAACTAACGCAGTGGATAGCAATGTTCCCCAAGGGCAACGTACACTTTACCCAACGTCGGCAACAGGGCTAGTGACCAATAGGTTGAAGTCCTTGGCTGGATTAGCAGCTAACAACATGTCAGTTCGACCGTTGCGAGCGACGACGTCCACCGTGCGCCCCACAACATGGTGGGCGTAGGACTGTGATTCACGTAGGAAATACTTTACAGTGATGGCAAACTTGCGCAGTTTCTGCCATATTTCTCCCTCCTCACTTGCTTGACGATCGGAGTCTGATTCTGACGTAGTGGCTGACAAAGTTCAACAGTCGGTCTACTCGTGCCATCCAGAACCTGAGTCCAGCACAAAGTGGGAGTTTGTCTTGGACCTCACGTGGGCAAGAGAACCATAGCTTTCGCATTCAGAAAGAGCCATTGAGCCTGGGTCCTTAGAAGGACTGCGTTACACCGTCAGTTGGCAGTCTCCCAAGCCACGACGTTCATCGTGTCGGGATAGGTTCAAGCGCGTCAGATTAATTATAGTGAGTAATTCGCTGAATTGTCGTAGGGGTGGATTTGGCGCAATCGGCCTTACTCTGGCTTACCTCTGGCGTGAATCAGTCGATGGTCCGAACTGCTCAACTGTTATTTGACTTAAGTGGTTGGTGGAGCGTAATTACTCGTCTACGCATGCTACACACGACCTAGCTCTTACACAACATGCCAGGATTTATAAGTGAAGATGAGGGGGCTGGAGCACCAGAACATTCTGTTTATTGTTCTGAGCTTTCGAAACCATGCAGGAGTCCGTCGTCAGAGATTGTAGCAGCAACAGAAAAAGCGACAGTTGTAGGACGTATTAGCCAATCATCGACCGACGGCGCAAGACTGGACGTGACTGCGCAGGGCTCTGTACGCCGGCGTCAGATCGATAAGTCGATTGACTCAGTTCTTATCCAAGGCCGAGATTTCTCTAAAATTGGTGGGCGGCTCGGGTCTTACATGAATGCGAGTTCCACGGAGGCCCTATGGGGGAGGAGCCATTTAGCCCCACCTACAGTCTATCAGTTGGCCACTCCACACAAACACCGACTGCACAGTATGAGTTTTATCGCCGGTTAGAAAACTTTCAAGCCATAACGATCAGTGCGTCGTGATAGGTTCAGAAGCGCCAGACTTATTGAAGTGAGGGATGCACTGAAGTACCGTGGGGTTAGAGTCCCCGAGGTCGGCCACACTCTACTCTCTAGTGCATCAGTCGGCTGTCCGAGCCCGTCAGCCATCTGATGCGGGATTGGGCGCAGTGGCTACCAAAGCTGGAACAGCTCGTCTGCGTGTCACACACGACCTGATTAGACATCCGGTTGTGTCAAGGTGCGCGTTTCCCACTTACGTGAGGGGCGCCGACTCTGGAGTGAGTGATATG